CAATTTTCTTGAGTTCTTCTGACTAGCTGATCTCAACAGTATTGCGAAGTCGAGCTTTACATTGAAGAAGTCAAGAAAAGCAAAGTTCTTTTTGCTCTTCTCCAGCTTAATAAGCAAATGCATGTGATTTACTTTTACAGAAATGAAATGTAAATGCGGTCCCCATGGAAGTAAGTGTGATGATGACGGAGAGTGTTCTTGTTATGACGGATTTGTAAAAAATGGAGAAGGAGTATGTGAAAGTAAGTGATTTCCTTTACTTGCTTTATCATAAAGGTCTTAGGGTTGAGAAGAAACGGATAAATTTCTGTGTGCTGCGGGGCCGTCTTTTGTTATAGTAGAGTGCATGCAACAACAGTGTCAAGCTACGTTTTGCTGTGACCAATTTGGTATCTGGTGATTTCGCCAACGAGTGATTTCGCCAACGTCACGTTTGCCAGCGTCTTAGGTCGCTTCGCCAAAGCGAAAAGTCGCTTCGCCAAAGCGAAAAGTCGCTTCACCAACGTCCTACTGGTCACTTCGCCAATGTATTAGTTTACGCTAAATAAAAATTTACCATTACTTCTTCTTGCTTCTGTGTGTTATTTACTTGACTGAGCTGACTTGATTTCCCCGTTCGAACTTAGTTTCCTTCCGTTATTTTGTTCGGACTTAGTTTCCTTCTCTTGTACGCGCAACTTAAAACACAGTGTGCCCACATAAATGCACGGCACGCCACGCATTTTTCAAGTAAAATTTTGAGTTATACATTTTTGGAACACATTTGGAAGCCATCGGAGTTTGTTATTCAACAGTTTTAAATTACCGCGATGTAAGTGCTCACACGCCGGCTTTTTCTGGATCTGTCAAAAATATGCGAATTGTTTGGAAGTCAGCCAAGCGAAACTAGCATTAACTTAAAAATGTTCTGACCCAAGTATCAGCATTACATCCGAAGCATCAGTAAGCACCCTTTTTACTAAGTTATTACTAAGTTATTACTAGATATTTGGCGTTGGCGAAGTGACCAGTAGGACGTTGGCGAAGCGACTCATCGCGTCGGCGAAGCGACCAAAGACGTTGGCGAAATCACCGTAATTCACCAATTTTCTTCTCATGGCTGATTGTTCTTACGTTCTTTTGACTGCGCTGACACCAACAGTATTGCGACGTCGATCTTTTCGTTGAAGAGGTCAAGCAAAATTCTTTTTGCTTTTGTCCAGCTTAACAAGCAAATGCATATGATTTACCTTTACAGAAATGAAATGTAAATGCGGTCCCCATGGAAGTAAGTGTGATGATGACGGAGAGTGTTCTTGTTATGACGGATTTGAAAAAAATAGAGAAGGAGTATGTAAAGGTAAGTGATTTCCTTTACTTGCTTTATCATAAAGGTCTTAGGGTTAAGATGAACGAAGAAATTTCTGTGTGCTGCGTGGCCGTCTTTTGTTATAGTAGAGTGCATGCAACAACAGTGTCAAGCTACGTTTTGCTGTGACCAATTTTCTTGAGTTCCTCTGACTAGCTGATCTCAACAGTATTGCGACGTCTAGCTTTACATTGAAAAGGTCAAGAAAAGCAAAGTTCTTTTGCTCTTTTCCAGCTTAACAAGCAAATGCATGTGATTTACCTTTACAGAAATGAAATGTAAATGCGGTCCCCATGGAAGTAAGTGTGATGATGACGGAGAGTGTTCTTGTTATGACGGATTTGAAAAAAATAGAGAAGGAGTATGTAAAGGTAAGTGATTTCCTTTACTTGCTTTATCATAAAGGTCTTAGGATTAAGATGAACGAAGAAATTTCTGTGTGCTGCGTGGCCGTCTTTTGTTATAGTAGAGTGCATGCAACAACAGTGTCAAGCTACGTTTTGCTGTGACCAATTTTCTTGAGTTCCTCTGACTAGCTGATCTCAACAGTATTGCGACGTCGAGCTTTACATTGAAAAGGTCAAGAAAAGCAAAGTTCTTTTGCTCTTTTCCAGCTTAACAAGCAAATGCATGTGATTTACTTTTACAGAAATGAAATGTAAATGCAGTCCCCATGGAAGTAAGTGTGATGATGACGGAGAGTGTTCTTGTTATGACGGATTTGAGAAAAATGATGAAGGAGTATGTGAAGGTAAGTGATTTCCTTTACTTGCTTTATCATAAAGGTCTTAGGGTTGAGATGAACGAAGAAATTTCTGTGTGCTGCGTGGCCGTCTTTTGTTATAGTAGAGTGCATGCAACAACAGCGTCAAGCTACGTTCTACTGTAGCCAATTTTCTTCTCATGGCTGATTGTTCTTGCGTTCTTCTGACTAGCTGATCTCAACAGTATTGCGACGTCGAGCTTTACATTGAAGAGGCCAAGAAAAGCAAAGTTCTTTTTGCTCCTCTTTAGCTTAACAAGCAAATGCATGTGATTTACCCTTACAGACATGAAATGTAAGTGCGGTCTCCATGGAAGTAAGTGTGATGATGACGGAGAGTGTTCTTGTTATGATGGATTTGAAAAAAATGGAGAAGGAGTATGTGAAGGTAAGGGATTTTCTTTACTTGCTTTATCATAAAGGTCTTAAGGCTGAGATGAATGAAAAAATTTCTGCGTGCTGCGTGGCTCTTTGGTTAACGTAGAGAGCATGCAAAGTTAAATGTCATGGCTTTCAGAATCTCCATATGAAATTGGTTTGTTCGTTGTTTGGAATAATGGTCGCTGCAAGATTTGTTGTAGTAAGGGGCGAAGAAGTAAATGCATTTTCCGTGCAACAAGAGAACGAGAACACCAGAAAGAAAACTTTGTATGCTCAGAAGTAATAAATCTTATTCTGTTTGTGCCAAACAGCCTTCAGCTGTTCAAAAGTTAGCTGTGAAAAGAGTCTGAAAATAGCAGTATCTGATGATTTAAGCTCAACAGGCGGTATTATATGTAAACCTTAATCATAATTTGGGAATTGGGTATTTTTTTTGTATGAAAACAGTACTTTAATTACATCCAGCTTTTCAATCTTTACCTTGAATATTTATTATCCATATACTAAAAGGAAATTACATTAGCTACAAATTTTATGTTGAGTGGCAAGAATAACTCACTTGTTCGCTGCGCTCCTCGTAAGATATTGTTCTTACCTTATCTAAGGTCTCTCTCCTTTTCATTAACTAAAATTTATGGTCATAGGTGATGTTTATTGGGTTTCTTAATTGTATTAGTCTGTGACTCTTGCAATACAGAAAGAATTTAACACGTCACAGGCATTGATAAGTAACGAAACACTGGCCCTAGTGGAATTGCTTAAAGCTGCTTAATCGAGTAAAAGTGGACATTAATAACACTAGAGGATAAAATTCGTATCCAAGGGCAGGCATGCAATATTCTCCATCTATCTTGAACAGAATGCAAGTACACATTGCACGAAGAATGTACGTACTGTGCACGAGTCCAAAAACGTGCGAATGAAAAAAGAATATATCCAGAACTGAAAGTTCTAGACGTATCTTTTTAATTTGGATGCTTGGACTATGAACTCTAATTGTGCTGGGGCCCTAACCTTCCTGGTATGAATTTCCATCTGCTCGCCATTTGGAGGATAAATTATGTTAAGATTATTCGACTGAGTCGATGGTATTCTTTGTTATCAGAATGTATTTCAAAGGATGAGAAATATTTGTTTAGTCAAATGGAGAGCGAGGAAAAATATAGTTGACAATCTCTGATCATATTATTCATTTTCTATTTTTTTAAGGCCCCGCTGGCCAAGTTGGTTCAGGCCACTCTGTACACGTCACCAGTCACCTGGGCACCCTCGGCCTCGTCCTTACACTGCTTGGGCGCCTGGCCGTTACAGCATGAGGAACCGTGCCTACTGCTTGCTTTGCTGCTGCATGTTCATTCTTTTAACTTTTCCCCTTTTGTCTTACAAAAAAATATGTATAAAATTACTGTATTTGTAAGAGATATATACCTATGTATACCTGGTACAGATCGATACGGATGATTCAAGAAAGTTTGAAAAAATTTTATTTTTAATTCCTTACACTGATATCTACCCTTTTCAGACAGAATTTTTTACGTTAAAACAATTTTTCATCTGAACTTCATAAATTGTACTCTTTCACTAGTTGTTTCATCGAGTTTGTTTCGTGACTCTTCAAAGATTTGCCTGCCCTTAACCTGTCACTCAGTTCAACTTATCCTAACAAAATACATAATTTCGGCTCCACTACGCAGTACAACATGAATTAGAAAAACCGTTAGGTTTATTATGGCTTTTTCGGCCGAGCACCGCGCATATAACATAACGTTATATAACAACCTTTATTACATTCAAACATGTGGAGGAAAAACTAGAACAGAGCTGAGCGACAGTTTACACTGAATACAGTCAGAACAGAGGCCAGAAAAAACCTGCAGGAAAAAACCCCAATAGGGGAGAAAACTCGGCAGGAAATTTGGGTAGGATCCATGGCTCATGCTCTGAAAAGCACATCCTATGAAGGCTACACGGCTGGAAGGTCTTTGCCCTTATTTACTAAAATGTATTCCAACAAAGCACGGAAAACTCTAAATAATTTTAGGAAACGCAAACAAGCTAAGAAACCCCTGCGAAACTCGAACTGTCACTAATAAGTCAAATATATTCTAAAAAATAACGTGAGCAAGACGAGGTGTCGGCCTAGAATGCTTTCCCACGTGATAAGCATCCCTTTTATAGCACTCTATTCTACCCATGCTGCACTTCAACTGCCCCAGTCCCCACTGCTCCCGTGCCGCAGAAATATTTCATTTCCGGCTAATTCGTATCCGCTCAAACGCCGGAAGTTCCATATTTCGGCTCCACTACGCTGTAGAACACGAATTAGAAAAACCATTAGGTTTATTATGGCTGTATTGGCCGAGCACCGCATATATAACAGTACGTTATATAGCAACCTAGAAGAATAAGTATAGGGCTTGACTGAACCCCGAAAAGAAAAGAAACTAAAGTCCTAAAGATTTCGAGACTACAAGACGTGAAGCCATGTTGTCCTTTACGTAACCATCCTTAGCTGCGACACTTTTCCATATGCCTCTGAAAAACTCTATCACTAACCCCGCTGTTGGCAGCCCTCGACGCTCCTCCAGACCGGAAAGAGTGAGTCCCGAATACAGAGGGATTCGGAACTATGCTCTGCAGACTTTTAGTTAGCTGACCTCTGAAGGTTGCATACGAGATATGCTTATCAACTTGAACCAATTTGTAGGACGACTTGGTTTTAACAAGCGGTCGGAAAACAAATTCACTAGAGTCGGGGCTGATATCTAATTTCTTCAAGTACTCTTTGAGTAAGAAAGCCGGGCAAGCATTCTCCTTGGATTGAGCAATAACCGCTTCGTCACCTTGCCTAAGCTGATCAGTCTTGCTTTTGCCTACTTTGATAATCATGAACCCTTCATAAAAACGAATATGACTCATTCTATTATTAAGAACCTCCTCAGATCTGGAAAAACCCGCATAGGATAACACGTACAAACACACGTTTCTAACTGCAGAACATTGGACAAATCAGCTCCCTCCACAGTTCCTTTGAGGACTTCAACTGATAAAGGCTCTTTCATATTGGGTCTCCCAGCCCCTAAAATTCTCTTAGCAGCTTCCCGAACTCTAGAAACTTCCTGATTATCAGTAGGAGACACCATACCGGCGATCTCGTGGGCCCACTTAATAGCGTAGAAAGCAGTATCGACGGAGCTAAAGGAGTTGGTGGATTCTAATACATGCTGTAAATAAATAGCTACATGAACAGGTTTTACTGGAAGAAAATAACTGCTCAATTTGCTTAAAGCAAAGTCCATCCATTTCTTGAATGCCCGATGATACATGTTTGTGGTGACCGGAGCCCTTGCTGACAAATCTGCTCGTTTTCAATAAAAGAACTACAAGCGTAATCTGATGCGTCAGAATAGACAAATCTAGCGGGCAGTTGGAAAGGTATCCAGAGGTAACAAAAATTAAGAGAGTCGACGTTGTCTATCCAAAACTTCAATTCATCAAAAGCTTCTTTAGACAACTCAACCTTAGAATTTCATGACTGTTTCTGATTTACAACGGTGTACAGAGCATATATCATGATTCTGGCTATACTTCAAACACAAGGAGTGAGCGAGATGACTTGGCCTACCACAGATGCTACATCTCTAACTTTGAAAATTTTACAGTCATCCTTACGTAAGAGATCAATGCTACTCTTTAGCTTTGAAAACCTTCGCTCGGTAACCGAAATAAGACATTGATAAGTATCAAAAACAGTGCCGAGCCAGGAAATAACTTGAACAGGCTCCCGAAGGGACTTCTCTTCGTTAATAACAAAGCCGTACGAAGTCAAATCAGCGCGAACTGTCAAACTGTTGATTTTGGCCGTGATAGAATTGATACCACCCCCTGAGCTGGCATCGAGAAAAATAGCCATGGGAATTCCTTTGCACCTCCATGAAGTAGGAATAGGCTTTAATAATTTGGTGAACAAATACGGTGCGGTTGACAGCCCGACAGGTAAAACTGTGAACTGAAAATACTTCACAACATCATCGCCAAATCTCAGGAGAAAGCTAAGTATTTACGGTGATCATGAAAAATTTCAACGTGATGGTACCCGGACTTCAGGTCGAACTTGAAAAGTAAAAACCCCTCAGATAAAATTTGAAGGGCAACTGATACGTCTTCGCATTAAAAACATACAGATTAACATGTCTCAAATCAAGAATTAATCTCTTCTTCCTGAGGGCTGAATGGAAATGGAAAGTGGATTAACAATATCCGGCTTGCGATCCAGAATATCAACACACTTAGCTCTTGACAAGTCGGAAATAGCCTCAGAAACAAAATGACTATAGGTAACGGCAGAGAGATTGTTAGGAATGACTTTAAGAGGCGAAAGAGTCACGAACGGAATTTTATGACCGTCGCGGACAACACTTAATTTCACCCCTTTGATCGTAGCACAAAGACAAACGACCACGAACCGAAGGGTTGTTATATTGCCCTGAAGTAAATTCATAATTTAACAGCGACCTAATTTTTACTGCCTCATCAGAGTGATTTGAATTTGAAAGATCATCGTCAGAAATGTCACTAGAGCTATTTGAAACAATGGAATCGCCCACACCTTGGAAATGTTCTGGATCGCCGGCGGCTGGTCATTGACCGGTGGTTGACTTTGCAGTGTAAGGACACTGGGCCATCCAATGTCAAAGTTTATTGCGGGCAAAACAGGAACCCGGTTTGGCTTGTGACGCTCTGGTCTGCACTATGGGAATAGGTTTACCACTACATTGGCTAGAAGCAGCGGCTGCGACCGTCGTTAACGCAGTGGGCTCTCTTCTATTTGTTGGCCTTGACTTCAAACGTCCGCTCTGGTTAACCTGGTCACGTGCCCTAGCTTCTGCTCTAATAATCTTCCTCTCGTCGTCAGAATCCTCCGCAAGATCGTTACGCTTGTATTCGCGAATCAATGACTACCCAAAGTCTGATTTGTCAGCAAGCAGAATATGTTTCTGCCTCTCAATCAATAACTTCTCGCCTTTCTCAAGTGAAGCTTGAACTTTATCAAACTGACGGGCGAAACAGGCATCTTTAGCTTCTTCAATATTTCATTTCCGGCTCATTCGTATCCACTCAAACGCCGGAAATTCCATTTCTCTTACACTGTTTTGGGTAGTTTTCATGCACTCAAAATCATTCTATTATAGTGAGAGCGTCTGAAAACAGAAAAAATGGGTAATGGAGTGATTAAGCCTACCCCCTTGACGTTCTCTCTGGTCTCGCTGTCCGGGCGAATTCTAGAAAAGTAAGGGCCTACCTTTCTTTTTTCTGTTTAAAGTAAAGGCAAGGCTTGTGGTGTAGATTGTAGGCAGGATCTTCTCTTTAAGTCTCAAATTTGGCGTTAACGAGTACATTAGTTAAAGTTTCACAGTCCTAAGCTCGCATTCCCATCTCACTTTTCTATGATACCGAAAAGAGATCACCAATGTAGTCGCATGTTAACTCGCTGTCTTTTGTACCGCAAGCAAAACTGAAGTCTTCTTCTTCGGACAAGGAAAACAATGCTCAACACGGAAGATGTTTCGACGGAAAATGCCACTGTGTTGGAACTGATCATGTTGGAGACGGCATCCAATGCAGAGGTAAGAGACCAAGAAATTTAAAAAAATTACAACTGAGACAATTCACCTGTTCCGTGTGCTTTTTGACTGCTTTGAGTGACTAACATCCAACCATTAAAAGAAATGGCTGCCACATTGAAAACTGAGAATTATTTGTAAACGATGCGGAAAAATCTAGGTATATGGAGTTCTGAAAGCTTTAAATCTCTTATAATGTTCAGATAGTCACTCGCCCTTAGAAAAATATGACGTTGTAGAATAAACAAGGTAAACGTTATAAGTTTGATAAGAGTGACTAGCAACGAATTTCTCTGCACATTATCTCCCCTAAATCTCACAACAAGTTCACCAGAATAAAGGAAATGATCATGCACCGACCAAATTAGTTCTTGTTTGTCAAACAAATTATCTTCGTCAACCCCTTAAGAAATGTATTGAGAAAAGTGGGAAGAATATACATCATACTAATGTTGGGACGTTAGGGGCTTTTACAACATGTACAAATTTTGTCCACGATGGTAGCCGAGACTGAAACACAGAAACCTTATTAAATACACATCCGTGATGCATTAATGAAATGTTTGCGTCATAATTGCGGCTGACAGGTCCTCAAGAAAAAAAGGTAATATGAAACCTACCCAAACTAGGTTAAACAAAATTAACCTGTTTTTTGAACATCTAATTTTCACATGTCACACTGTCATTTAGAACTAGTTAGAAAACTCAACCTTTTTCATTTTGTGCTCTTAAATAATATAAAAATGCGTCTCTTAACCTTATTATTCTTAGTCTTAGATACACCTTGCTGCCCAAAAAGACAAGCACAACATCAAAGGCATGCGAAATTCCTACTCCTTGTCTATGCCACTCTTTCCCCCCCCTCGGAAAAAAGTGTCAACAATCAAAATTAATTTCAGTCTCACATGGCGATTGTTTGAACAAATTATCACAAAGTTCAGTGAATTCTTCCCCTTCAGTTTTATTTCTATTTCAGCACCTCTTCATGAATGCAACGAAGACATAAACTGTGATAAGCGAGCAAAGTGCGATGAAGGATAATGTATATGTCAAGGGAAAATGGAATATACTACAGAGGTAAAAATTCTAACTACTATCGTATTATAAGTAAGGTTTCTAGAATACCAGATTTGTTTGTAACATAATTAGTACATTCGTGTAATTCAATAGCGCAATCGTTATTTATACACCCATTATGCGCACTTAAGCCGTGTGTGTACGCACTGAACTGCAGCAGAAGCAATTTCTCCCAACCCTTTGACAACTAAAGAGTGACTGGCATATAATTTCCCCTTACAAAACATCCCTGAATCACATATTAAGGTCACGAGAATAAAGGAAATGATCAGCGACAAAAGAAGCTCTTTAATTCTCCTTGCCAGGACCTCAGGATAAGTTCTAATTCTGTGTTCTAATTTTGATAGGCTACTTTAATTATTGTATTTTACTACATTTCATTTTATTCCATTTTACGCACGACCCCACAAGCGTGTAGTCGCTTTAACAATTATCGTGTTTAAATAAAGTCTTTGTATTGTTTGTATTGTTGTAAGTATTGTTTGGAGGTACCAGGCCTAGGGGTGGGTTACAAACTCCATAGGCAGTTATAGATGTTGTACGCTGCTGAATGAAACTGAGAAGTGTGAGGATAAGTATTGTTTGGAGGTACCAGGGGTGGGTTACAAACTCCATAGGCAGTTATAGATGTTGTACGCTGCTGAATGAAACTGAGAAGTGTGAGGATAAGTATTTTTTGGAGGTACCAGGGGTGCGTTAGAAGAAAAATTTTTTTCTTTACCGGCTCCTTGGGCTTTTCTTATGTTCTAGCTTCTCCAGTTTTCTGCCCTTGATGCACTAGAAACAACTTGCCACTTAAAAGTTCATATTTGACCTTCTAACAGTGAGCAGAAAACCACCTCTTGTACTCATTAGCCATCAACCATAGCTTAAATCCAATTTATCATAAGAAATTTTCTATCTATCCAGTTATTCAGTTATTCTAGTAATAAATGTCTACCCAACTTATAAAGAAAAATTTTCTCTTTACACTTATTTTGGAAGGAAATGTATGTTACAGTAGGCTCAGTACAGTTGGCTGTAATTAGACACCAAAAATTGTATAGTCCAAGTTAACTCAGCCAATCATACTTTAAGTCCACTCAACTAAATCCACCAATCACAGATTTGATTACAATAACAGTGTAGCAACAACCATTTAATTACCCTTCAAAACTGGGGAACTTCAAAAGCCATTTCAAAAATTTGCATTTTGCTTAAATTGTCAAAGATTGTGATGGTTATATTTTGGATATTTTATATAGAAAGTCCCTAAATATTTGTTTTTCTTGGTTTTGTTTTGTTTTGTTTTGTTTTTTATTTTGGAAATTGTCAAGGTACATGTAACCATTATAATCAATTGGCGACAGGTCCAATTGGGTCTGTAATCATACTTATGATTAACAAATCCAACTCCTGCTTCGGGTTGTCCAATTTTGTAGTCACTCACATGATTACAAATGAAACTGAACTGACCACTTGGACTTTAATTACCATTTCTTGTAATTCAAGGCTAATACTACTTCTGCTGACTCTACCAAACATGACATGAGAAAGATATAAATGTAATTCAACAAACTCTAACAAAATTACTCTGTTCTTTATACAGGTGCAAATAAACCAAGCCATATGAAAACCTACTCATCCAGGTCTTTCAGCACCACTGGCGGCATGATCCTTTTCATACTAGCCCTTCTGGGTAACTGTGCCTTTGATTAATGTTGCAAGATTTTGGCACCACATCTACTGTTTTCTGCATCTCTTCTTAATTTTCTTCCCTTTCTTCAACAAGTAAGAAAAGAATATAAATTTGTTTCATCAACAGTAACGGATCTTGTGCTGTGCTGTACATCTTTCATCCTGTGTTTCACCCCTCTCTTACAGCAGTAAACAGTGACATTCATATACATGGCTATTAAACTAAAAATCAGTTTTGTAAACAAAGTGAATAAACCTGAAAAAGCACAATTCTCTTCGCAATGGACTTATAGTCAATACTTGGACGGAATCTCTTGCAGCCGGACATCGAAGAGTTGATTAACAGTAATAATAATTGAGCCATGAGGGTGTAATTTGATCTGAAAACAAATGCACAACATAAGAATTCAACAACTGTGCAACAGTTCAGTTCTATTTTAAATCACAAGTTTGATTTTAGAAGAATTCAACTTCATAACACAAAGATCAACTGCCACTTACAGCTGCTACAACCATTTTGAAAAGACACAAATTGATGACGCAGAGGATTTTGGTCAGTATCCAATGATTATTCCATTGATCCAGAAGCACTGTCTAAAACAAAGTTAAATATTAGCACTTAAGTTTTAAAATTGGGCTAATTGAACTCCAGTTGATCCACTCAGTTTATTTACTACATGACAATTTTTCTCTCTCAAGAAGATGTAAATCTAATTGTTGTGATTCAATCAAAACAGCAACTGGAATAATTTAAGATTTTGACAGAAGTTAAATGCCTTTCTCATTCAGCTGTTTTGGTGTTTTAATGCTGCTCAACCTTGGCAGTCTGGAAGTAAGATAATGGGGCAGCTGTTTCCCTCATATGTAATGGTATGCATATCAAATTTCTTTAATCTTTAATCACAGTTCGTAACCATACATCGAACAAAAGTACAAAAATGGTTGATAGGATGGTAGTAGGGGGAAACTAAATTCCCATGCTAAGACATACCCTCCAAATTTAGCATGCACCTGTATGTGTCGACCAAAAGTAAATTGTTGCTTGATCAATGTCATAATTCCCTGAGCCATGGGAGATCTACAGTGCAGCTCAAAGATAAAGGGACCAAAATATGCACATTTAAGACTGGCATAGAACAAGTCTAAGACCAGACACAGACTAGTCTATATAGTGCGCACCTAATGTAAGACCCATCTGCCTAATCAGTATGTAAATATGAGCAAGAAGATTGTTTTCTTTTGTGGAATGGTCATTGTTTAATTCAATGGGCATTGTATTTGCAGTAAAAATTGATGGTTAAGCTGCACTGAATGACCATCAATCCTGTTGTGTTTCTTACATCTGTGTTTGTTTATTCACTGATTTGGTACTGTTAACATAAGTTAATACAGTTTTTGCTTGCCGCCAAATTTCATCAATACTTGAAAGAGAGAAAATATTGTCTTTTGAAACAGATCATATTGTGCCTGAAAATCCAAGACATTGACACTACATGCAAACTCATTTTACTGCCTCCCATGCTTAAAATTAGATAAAACAAACAAACAAACCTTTCACTTTTAGAAGAATTATTAGTACATGTACATGTAGATTTGATCAGCCTATTACAGACAGTTTGAATTACCAAACTGTTTCCAATAAAGCCAAAGGAATAAATTACTGTGTTCTCATCATGATGCTACTTAAGTCACAACAGCATCTCACAGACACTTTATAGAAAACAAAACTTTGGCAGAAAAAAAAACCATTTGGTGTAACTGGTGCATCATGGAAACTTAAAGGAAAATCTTCTCTTTGAAGAGAGAGCAGTAAAACTGAAGAACTAATTTTTTACAGTTCTTGCTGTGATGTTATGTAGAAGAATGGCATCACACTGATGAATGATAGAAAAACAAACATTTTCCTTACAAGAAAAAACTGATAGCTGAGATCGGTGCAACATGGAAACTTTGAAAACAATTCTTTTATTGTGAAAGGAGAGCATTTTATAGTTTGAATCAGCTTTAGATATTGTAAAACATAATATATATTATTTTCAGTTTTTGCTGTGACACTGCAATGATGTTACAGAAGACTGTAGACTGGCTGGCTGTACGAGTTGCAGCAAGATGTTTACAGCTGATGACTTTTTGCACAGAGAAATGATCATTTTGAACTAGAAAACCATAAACTTATCCTTCAAAATTTGCAAAGGAATGAAGACACTAAAATGTTTGCATTTAAATATTGACTTCAATCAATTCAGCTCTAAGACTTACAGAACAGATTTCTATTTCATGTTAATTTGAATAGCCCACTGATAATAATATAATCACAAAACAAAAATTCTCGAACAAAACCACGATTCTTTGTTCTTAACCTTTAACTCCCAAGATCTTATTGTTAATTCTTCCCTCTAGCTGCTACATATTTCCTTGTAAATTGGTTACAAGAATTTGGTATTTGATCAAATACGTGACAGGGTGCACACCAGACTCTTTATTTTCTAAATATATCCAAAGAGCTACCATCACTAAGTGTACAACAAGGAACCCCCAGATGCTAAATATTCCTTTGTATAAAACAGCCACAGGACAAAGAACTTTATACTTCAGAACAGTCGAACTCTGGAACTCATTAGCCTCTACTCTTAAGTTGAAACCGACACTAAAGGACTTCAAACTTTGCCTGAAGAGAAGCCTTACCTCAAACCTTTTTAGAGACTTAATTGCTTTTTTAATTTTTATTTAATATATTTATTTAATTAATTAATCATGTTATCTATTTACTAGTCAAAAAGCTCATTAATTTACTAGTATATAGTTTTAATTGTTTCTTTATTCTGAAAAGCCCATTTGGGACAAATAAAGCATGTGTACATGTTCTCACAACCTGTTTGCTAGATAATGCATGGACACTGTAAGGAGAACTTACATGTTAACCACATTGAGCATCAGGTTAACATGTAGTTTGAAAAGTAAACTTAATTTCTTGTTACCAAACAACTCACAAAATTAATCACAAAAAAAAATTCTCAAACAAAACCGTGATTCTTTGTTCTTAACCCTATAACTCCCAAGATCCAATTGTTAATTCTTCCCTCCAGCAGCTACACATTTCCTTATAAATTGGTTACAGGAATTTGGTATTTGATCAAGATAACAACTTCTACCTGATAAGTTTGAGTGTTCTCACCACCTGTTTCCTAAATAGTGTATGGATACTGTAAGGAGAACTTACATGCTACCCACATCTGGCATCAGGTTCACATGTAGTTTAAAAAGTAGAGTTGATTTCTTGTCATCAAACAACTCTTTGATTTGGGGCTTGAATAAAGCAGGTTAAAGATATTCATTAAATTTACTCCAGACCCTGCACATTACATTTCCTTCTGACAGATCATTTTTGTCATCTAATCTATAGTTTATTATTGATGAGTTTTATAATGAATCAGTTTAAATAGAGAAACCAAAAGACCAAACCACATTAGGGTTTTTTTTATTGTGAGCTCCTCAAGTTTTTGCAGATCAGTAATGTTTTCTGCTCTCACACAAAAAAGGTTTGCTACTTTGCTAAGTGTTATTGTTACAGCATAGATATTAAGTTGGTTTTTCATCTGTTAAAATAGGTAATATGATTGGTGTGAAAGACTCTATCCCCCATGGGCTCCATAAGTGTGTGGTTTACAAGTTTTTATGTGTGGGCTATAATGCTTGCTATGTCAGCAAAACCTCCTGGCATTTATGTTTTGCAAATTTCATTCTTTTACACAACCATCCCTTTTGGTTATTTAAAAGGTCCCTTTCTTTTCTTTAAGCGGTGTATTTGTGAAAATTTACAGTGTTCAGTCGTTTTGATACAAAGTCATTTTGATACAAAGTCGTTTCGATACAAATAGAAGTCAATTCATTACACATGTAAAGTTGATTCAATGCAAACTGAAGGCGTTGCAATACAAGTAAAATCGAGAAAAGTTCAGTTGAAGTGTTTTAGTTTTCGTCTTTGATATTTTCGATCAATCGACGTTGTAATACCCAGTTTTCCCGCGACTCAATCGAACGAGTTGTATCACTCAGTTTCCCTGCGGCCAAAAAGAGCAAACTTTATTGCATATTTATTTAAATTACTAAAGTATGTTTACATTGATCATGACTTTTGCACATGTGGTGGCTCCTAAAAGAGCCATTTTTAGCGACCTGAAATCGTCCAAAGTGAACGCACTGGAACTGGTCACCGCGCTCTCTAACAGGGGCCCTACATGGGTTGACCTTGGGGCAGATGGAACACTGCCAGTCAGTGACTAAGCCTCGCCTTCTCTGTAGGGTGTAGCGGTACCCCTGGCTGTCTATCATCTTTGGCCGGCCTCTTTTGGAACTGTTCTCCACGATCTCGTAGGTCACGGCAAAGGAAGACAACGTCTCAGCTGGAGTGGGGTCATGAAGGGAGGATTCTTCGTGATCATTACTGTACTGGTTCTCCACATCAGGCTGGGATTCTTTGGGGTTCTCAGTTTGTGTAATCTTCGCATCAGGGTGGGATTCTTCAGGGTCAATGAAGGTAAGCTCTAGAGCTCCTGATTCCAGGTAGCTGGAAGGATCGGTGTAGGAGTCCGGATGCACACTGCCAGTCAATTTCTTTTCCATGTCAAACAGCTGCCTGATAAACTTCTTGCGATATACCTTTTGAATCAAAGTAAAGATCTAAATTAGGATAACGTAAATACAGTAAAGGTCTCTAAGTGTCAGAGTATTAATAGTGTTGAAAACTTACCAGTGTTGCAGATTCTATGATTCCAGTGAAAAAATCCATCACATTGAATGGCTTGCTGTCTGGGCCTAAACAGGTTCCTCGCATACCATGCAGTTCAAAATCTGTACAGACACCATCGTGATAACTCGTTAAAACTCGTAAAAACTCAAAAACTTTTGTTAACAGTCATGATTGTATGATCGAATGAACATTCTACAGGTCCCAGTGTGTTTTATACACTGATATTAGTTAGTTTAAAACGTTTGGATTCTTCTATTCGCTATTAATGGGGTAAAATTAGCAAGTTTTTTAAAACAATTAGTTTACATGTCTTTTGATATGATAATTTACAAACCCGCCTACCCACATGCCAGAATGACTGCTATTTCCTCACAGGTCACATAGTATTTGTGTTTCTTGATCTTAGGTGTAATATGTGCTGGAGTTATAGAAAAAGTCTCAAAATCATTTGTATAAATCTCTGTTCTCAATAAATAAACCAAACCAAAACTTAGTCTCATTTACATGTTCTCATTGCATAGGAGGCTTTGGCACATGTGTAGGTTCCCAGAGGTATGGGTTTGTTTTATTTACAACGGAGGTTTGTGTTTGCTCTTGTATGGTATTCTGTATCAAAATGATTTGAAGTGACGTGAGTTTGTATCGAATCAACTTTACATTTGTAATGAATTTACTTCGATTTGTATCGAAACAGCTTGTATTGAAACAACTTTGTATCGAAACGACCATGAACCAAATTTACTGCTACATTCACACCGGATACCCGAAAGGAAACATGAATGTTAACCAACAATCTAAGATTTCAGGGCTCAGTTCGCTTTTAATTGAGCAAGGCTTTAAACAACATAAGGGCCTTCTTTTGATACATTTCTTTAACCTTGTATGAAAACTCTAAGAATGAGATGCAGTTAATTTTATTGTGAATTAATTCATCAATACATTAAACTTGCTTCATGTTGAAGTTTATCAAAATGAAATATCACGAAGATTACCAACTGTATTATTCCGTGTCATTTGTTATCGTTGTCCTTTCTACCGTGATTAAAAAATGTTCAGCGAATTGAAGTCAGAGATGAAAAATTGAGGATGGCTAAGGTTTGCACTTTTTTATGTGTTAAATTTTTGATCAGCGCCGATGAAAACTAAGACATGACAATCAACTTGATTTCGGCACAGCTTTCTACATCTATAAATTTGATTTAGTCTTGGACGACTTTTTTCGTTAAAAAAAATTAAATAAAAATAACAACATTAAACAGGAACGAGTCTTATTCCAAAGTCTAACCATTTCGTTGGTGACTAGTGTGAGTACATTTCATTGGTTCATGGTTAAACAGGAGCTCATCGTAAACAACTCCATCGTTGGGTTGCTTAGTTTCTACATAGTATCGCCATAACTCCTGATAACTCCGATCAAAATGTATTGCAACTGTAAGAAGGTCGTGCTCAGAAAAGATATACTGTCATAACTGAGAAGAATATTCAGTAAACAACGGGAAAAACGACGACGATTTCCAAATAATCCTTTACAAAATTATGAAGAAAAACGAGTAGTGCTGAAATCTAGTAGCACGAAACGAAATGATAGCGACACAAATCAAAGAAAAATAAATATTTAGCGGGCTTCAAACTTTCATAGATAAATCAGCTGACTCGAGACTAAACTGGAATAGAATAATCTCGAAAGTTTAATCGCCCATGCGGATTTATATTAACAACTTACTTGCCGTATCTATAACCATCCTCAGTTTGCACTTGTTACATAACTCTCATAGAAGATAATTTCGTTGTCCTTAGAGTGGTCTATAAATTAAAACCACTGGTTTACTATTCCCGCGTGGCTCGGATGAAGTGAACAGATAATGTCCGCCATATTTGAAAATTCTGTTATATCTTGTACCAATCTTTTGCGCTTGCGCTGTTTAGTGCAGGTTTTTCGTTTCTTAACGTGGGTCTGTGTGGCAACCAGAACTCACTGCTTGAATTTATAATGTATTTTATCATTGTTTTTCCGTGAGGTTTGACCCATGGATTACGTTTCTTTAGAAAATTATTCTCTCATCAATATGTGCTTGCGTCATTCGCAAGTTCTTGACATTTGGTTGATTTCGACTCAGTTGTTGTTTTTTTTCTTCTCGTTATCCATGTTAGTTTGCGCCAGCGTTTTAAAAGAGGATGTCAGCATCCATCGAACAAATTTGAAATATTGTGACAAGTCGCCCTAAATTCGTTTTATTCTCTACTTTCGTATTTTGTAGCCCAATATGTCCTAATAATTGTGGTGTAGTTTTTTGGTGAAAATATATTTTAGTTTTCGAGAAATGATTTTTTTCGTTCGACCGCTCAAATATGCAACTTTTCACCGTGAATATTGTGACGAATTTACTTGACCTCCGGTATTTCTGTCAACATAATCCTTTGTTTTATCATCTAAACTTAATCCCCTGTCATTATTGAAGCTGTCAAAGAAATATTTATTTTTTGGTGAATATTTTTGTCCGACATACTTTTTCTATGTCGAAAAGTAGCATCAAAACAAAGACAGTTTTAACAATGACCGATACGACAGAATCTACTGAGCTTCTAGCTTTTAAAAGACAAAAGGATGGCTATAAAGTTACTGCAAAAATTTCCTTGTGTATTTGTGTCGTTCTATCGTGAGACAAACTCAAAGTCCGGCAAAAATTACTTGCTAGCGACTATGAAATAAACATCTTATGCCTATTTGTCGCCACCCTTTTTTACTAGCATAAATCACCACAATTTGTAAAAAAATCAAGCATAATACTCTTACCTCATTTATTTACGATTTTATGAGCTGTTTCGATGATCAAGTTATGCTCTACCACATTTTAGCCAGATTTAATTTGCAGTTTATAAAACTTCTCCACATTATTAGATCAGTATGACAAGCGTGACACATAAATTCAAAGATGAATCAACCTCCAAATTACCAAGAGATAGGCTGTTTTTTCCCTCTTTGCATATCTATAAAAATCTTCCAAGAATTACTGTATTCAGAAAACTAAAATGTACAGATCCATCAATGATTCCTTTGCCGGCGGAAGTCAAAGAATGTTCACCAAAGTCAATTCGATTAACAGGCTACATACTGATTTAGCTAATTAATCTGTTGTATAAGCGTTTCATCTTACATGCTAACAAGGAGATTTTCTGACAAAACTTTTTCTCTTCACCGAAAATCACATCCAAATTTATCCTTGCTAAATTTCAAATGTGCTGCACGTATTAGCACCCCCCGAGGAACTTCTATACATAAGAGAGCGAGGATGCGCGCCGGGAATTTCGAAAATGACCCCTATAAAATTATAAAAGGTACCTGAGTCTTATCCGTGTGGGAGTGGCAACCTCTGATGTCTACCCCTAAAAAGTACCAATTTAAACACAAAAAATTGAAAAATCCTAAAAATAAAAACTCCTTTATCGATATGCTACGGAGGCTCAAGTCAGATCATTAAAATCGTCCTAGTAATGCTTATTTCAGGTATTTTATTGAGCGAAAAACATCCTAAAAGGTACCAGCTAGATCTCTGGTAGTCCACTAAAGTTTGAGACATCGTAAAAGGTACCAGATCACTGATTTTGACCCCTGAAAGGTACGACAAGCATTCTTACTCATATCCGATCGCCTGATGACTCGTTTCGAATAATTTGACCCTGCTACCATGTGGCGACCGGGATGAACTCGTTCTTGAACAAAACTCATTCCGATATTATGTAAAGGCCCCAAACAGTTTTTATTCCCAGAGCATCACGCTTTGCTCTCCCGCCAGAACAATATAAATTTCAATATGCGCTTCTACTGAAACGATTACTGTATTTCTTCACCTATAAGCCGAGCGATTTTTCAGTATTTGACACAAAAGTTTGGGAGATTTTTTCGCAAGAAACGGGCTTCGGCTAATAGCCGAGGGTTTGGAATTCAAAAACAAGTACAAATTTAGTGTTAATAAGGGAATAACATGACTTTTTGAGGGAATATTGTTTATTTGCGCCCGCGTAGTGTCATTTGCGGGCGCAAATAAACAATATTCCCTCAAAAAGTCATGTCAATGATATCAAGAATGCGAGTTTTAATAATACAAGCTAAGTGAATGACGAATTCAAAGTCACTTCAAATCATCATGTAAGCTGTAGGGCTGATAATGCATTAGCACCCCGCTGTCAGTCTTTTGCAGCCCGCTGAGCGTGTGTTTTGAAGAGGCCGATTTTCTATTTGGCCGCGTATATTGATAATAATGCGAAATAATAACCGCAAATTCCGTGACTGCGCGTGCAGCGCTCTTTACTTGACATGCTTTCAAATTGACATGACAACAACGTATTTCTGACCACCAATCAGATTCTTTGCTTCCCACGCATTGAAAGACGATCTCACTCGATTCGGCAAAAACTCTTCTCATTTCACGTTACAAATGAAATATTTGGTCTCTTTGCCGTGAAAACCGCTCCATCGCTTGCTCGTCTAGTTCGGGACTCTTGGGAGTGAAACGGCTCATTTTTGCACGTCTTGCAGACATCTTAAGAACAAGTCTCTGTAAGAATCAAACATCTTGGGAAATGAAAATTTTCAACCCCCCTTCAAATTTTGCATGCAGTTAGGCACTCAGGGGGGATGCACAAAAATGCCCTTTTTAAAGGTCGCAGCACTCTTGTTGCCATGGTAACAACGGCTGCTTGTTCGAGGCCTGGGGGCCCATTTTCATACAAAAACGTTGCAAAAAAAGAGTGAAATGTTTATTTCTCTATCTCAAGCTAAATACAACATTACAAATTGGCACTTGTACAATATATAGTGACATCATTCGTCTTCACTTTGATTCATTCAATTTTCCCTGGGAGTGAATGTGAAGACACCAATAGATTATTCATCTCGGTACAGTTTCGGTCATTTTTGCTGTCGGGTAAAACAGGGAAATCGTTTATCTGAATTTCTCCAAAAGTACACCGATTCTGGAACTGAAACTATCCACCTAGCTGGTTATAATATTCTAGTTTTTAAATATGTAAAAATCTCT